CAGGAATGCAAATCTCCACGAGAAGGTGCGTGTTGTCCTCAATCCCTTTCCAAAACTTGCCCCATAATTGTGAAGGAGAAGTCTTTCCAAGGCATGAAAAAGCGGTGAGCGCCTTTCATTTCCCAGTGCTGCCCCTGCTATGGCGTGAGAAGCACGAGGGTCTGTCAGGCCCCCCCCCCTACTTCTTACACCAGTGGCAGCTTTAAAATAGAGTGGCTGTTATCAAGGGTAGCGATGCAGAGACCACCCCCAGAAACGCATGGAAACCAGCAGCAATTCAGAGCCTTTGTCACTCCGGGTTGCACCTGAGACCTTTGGATACCAGAGCATATGGACTTCCCTTGCTTTTGATAGCTGGAACTGGCACTTGCTGTGCTGCATACAAAATATGTGTGAATGTATATTAAAATGATTTCTGTGTTTAGCCAAAATAGCATTTTTGGTTCTGTTCAGCACTGTAAAAACATTTATTTTTCTTGGCGTCTTATCTGTCAGACACATGGCATGGTTGGGAATCTGTTATTTTAAACAGCAGCTTCTCTCCTTCTCTGTCTCTCTCTTAACCTCAATACTGCAAGCAAACTATCAATATAAAAGCATTTTTTATGACCTTGAAACGCCAAGTATGTATGTCTTGATAAAATTCACACTCCTGGTATATTTGTCTTATATCTACAGTGTGAATCAATCTTCCTATTCTGTTGCCAGCTTGAAAAAAAAATATTTGGGCTTATTGTAGATCTTAAAGCACTATATACATTTTCTCCCCCATATCACCAAATTCTTACAGAAAGATCTTTGTTTCCAAGACTTGGCTACTGTTAAATTTAATGACTTCCCCTGCAGTCTTAAACCAAGGGCAGCTTCAAAATGAGGGTGGCTCTGATTAAATGCAATTACTTTACCCCTGCAGCTTTCAAGGTAAAGGTCCGTGGGAAAGGTGAAGTTGGAAAATGGGAACACCTCCTCGTATAAAGCACATAGAAGGGAGCACTGTTGACTGATGGACCCCCTCCAAACAACGATGTGGTAATTCGTAGGCCTGTGGCATTACTTTAAAAGATGGTGCAAGTGTGTTTGAGGGGGAAAATGGACAAACATTGATGACCCTCTTCTCTGAGGGACCAAAGTTGTTCTGCAATGTAGAAGTCCTAGCAGACTGGCTGGAAGTCCCTGGATTCAAACCAGCAGGAGACAGAATCAGGCCTCCCTAATAAATGAGATATTAAGCCAAGACTACACAGTGTGCCTGATTCTCCCTGGCAGGTATTTTATTTAGCTACCAATTTCTATCCAAAGTCAGGACAAAATAGCATCAAATCCAACTACTACACTCCAGGTACAGCAAGCAAGAATTTGCCTGTTGTCTACCTAAAGGGAAGGAAATCTTGTAATCCCTTCAAAACGCACCACACACACGGGCAGCTCATACAGCAATCCTCAGAGGCGAGCAGAGATGCGTGGGGACATAGGGCAATTTCCAAATAGCTTATTATTCTCACAAGATGTTTGCAGAGGAATCTCTCCGTGAGCTGCTGAAAATGAACACATTTCCAAATATCAAAGGTGAGGCAAATGCAAATACTGCCTGGGAGGGAGCACAAGACGGAGAGTGCTGAGATCCCATCAGCAGATTAATCACATGCCAGACCTGGAGGTAACTTCAACGTCGCAAATACAACGACGTAGTGAGCTCTGCCCAGGAACCAGAACTTGCCACTGGAAAACTGTTTTTTAACAGCCTCGGAGAGATAGGCACTGTGATTGCTGTTTAAATAGAAGGAGAAAAGGGAAGCGGGGAGAGACAGCATACGAGGTCAGAGCATGGCAGCTCATCCTCCTTCGGGTTCCTCATTTGAGGAAGAAACATTTTAGCAATATTTAGTGGCAATAGTTTTGCTCCGTGCCAAAAAGAAAATAAAAACCCTAATATGGATCGAGTTCCTCACGGAAAAAGCTTCTCATAGTTACCAGAGGTGAAACCAGAAGGGTTTGCAGACGTGGATCCAGAGGACCCCCTTTGAAGGTGGTGGTGGCTCAGGCATGAGCTCGTGCAGGGAACAGGAACTGCGATGTGTGTCACGGTGTGGGCTGCTGGGGCTGGGTGGGCAGGAGTAGAGGGTGTCACGCTTCCACGAGACATGCCATGATGGGGACCACAGTGAGTGATCTGTCAAATTTTAGCAGATAGCCCAGGAAGTCCATAGGAGATCTCAAAATTTTCCTATGTGGGGTTTTTTGGGGGGTTTTTTTGGTTTGTTTGTTGTTTTTTTTTTTTTGCTAAGGGAGAGGATCTCCTCTTTTAAATACACACGTAACAGCTGGGCACCCTGCTTTGCCCTACTGCAGAGCACACTTCCCGCAGACGCAGAGATGGGGCAGGGGCAGAAATTCAACCTGGGACTCATCATTGTCCCCCTGAAGAGCAAAGCCACCCTCCCTTTGGGTGGTGGTCCCCCTTTCTCACGGACACACGGGGTGCTGCGGATACCTGCGGTACTCAGGAAGGGACTTCTGCCGAAAGCAGTTCTAACACCTCCTTTTACAGCAGGATCCAGGGCTCAGGCAAGCGTGAAATGAAAGAAGCAGCTGTTTGAGAGGGAGGAAGGCAGAGGGGACTGCACGGGTCTCCTCCCACTTACCACCGCAAGGGAGTCACAGGCAGTGGTCATAGGGTCACATGGGGACTCCACTAAAATCCCCCAGGCCTGTCTGTGTGTGGTCCTCCTCCCAAAGTGACCCTTGGGCTATGCAAGAGATCCCAGGGTGCTTACTGCACTCCAGGGAAGCCCGGCCAACGTTTTCTTGTAGGACGATGCCTGGCAGCCTCGGTGGGCACCAGCCACCAGCGTGAGGGCAAGGCCTGGGCTGGGGACCAAGTCCCCGGGGGAACAGTTGGGGCAGATAGGGCTGAGCCCAACCGCTGCTCTGGACAAAGCACCAGGGCCCGGAGGAGGAGAGAATGACCCAATTTGCTCGGCTTTGTCTCATGACTGTAATTTTGCATCCTCAACCTTGCCGCAGAATAGCTAATGTTCATTTTTTTTTTTGTTCAGAGACAGACTTTAACTGACATTTGAAGATCTGAGAAGTGATACTGGAGATTTAGATGAGTCCTGTGTGATCAAAGCCCTGGAGGAGACTCTTAGCTCCTACTTTGTTTAAAATAGGTACGTGGTACTGGAGAGGTGAACAGCCTGGGAATGATCGAGTTTTGTGGCATGCTGCAATAGGAGATGCTGGGAAGGTGGATTCTGGGGAGGAGGGTACTTTGGGTAGTACCCTCCATGGGCAATTGATTGAACCAGAAGTCTTTCAAGGGAGACTGTAGCCAGGTGATGAGGAATAACCCATTTTACATCTCTTGGAGAGCACTTTAAAAATGTTTATTTTCTTGCAGGAGCGACGGGTCACGCTCCTCACTGCCAAGGTGGGTGGTATCGCTAAGGGTGGCAGAGACATCTGAGCTGCCCAGCCCGACATGCCGTTCCCACCACGAGGGATGACTCCCTTCCTGCTTGGACGCCAAGTTCAATTTAATGCTGCAGGGCAAGCAATAAAAAGGCTGGCGTGGCAGCTCCCGCCCAGCCCAGCAGTTCCCCAGGCAGCCCTAATGCTTACTTGCGGGTGTAAAGGTGACGGGGCGAGAATGTAAAGGCAATCAAAGGGCAGAAACAATTGTTCTTCTTCTCCCTTTCTTTATGTAAGTACGGAAGAAGTTTGAGAGAGGCACAAAAGACACACCGGGGTCTAATTTCTAAGGGAGGATGAATGCCAGGTTTCAAAAAGCCGCTCCTTGCATTTGATTCCCTTCTGCCTTTCTCAGTTAATAATCACTGTTATTTTGTGTTGCTTGTGTCGGTATTTTGCTTGGTTATTATGTGTCTGCAAAATATTAAGAGCCCCAAAAATTACAATAATAAGGAAAAACAGCCTAGAAAAATGGTGTTAAAACTGTCGCATCTGGAACAAGTGTTCTCAGCCTTTCTTTTCTTGTCACTTACCAGTGTAAACGAAGCAGTTTTGGGGACCGAGGCAGGGCATGGTGCACGGTTTCTGCACCTCTCTTGCAATGCTCATATGAGAATTTGCTTCATGGATGACTGCTTCTCCCCACGGTTTGCTAATGCTTTCCCATGTTCGCTAATGCCCGACCCTGGCACAAGGCCCGGTGTGCTGAGCCTCCGCTGAGGGTGCTCAGGTACGGCCTCCCCTTCCCCAACCGTGAAGCCAGGCAGGTGGAGATTTCCAGCCACACTTCTTAATTTGCCTGTGCCCGTGCAGTTTCATATTTTACGGTGAGGAGCAAAACTGCTGGGAAGATGCTGAGATGCTTCTTAGATCACATTAAAAATTAGAACTTGATTTAAGTGGAACCCATTTTATGCCACCCTACTTCTTACCCAGCTCTCTGTGAATGTCTCTACATAATCAGTAACCTCCAATCTTTCACTGAACATTTCCCAAATTATTCCAGATTTGGTCATCTGAATCTCTTTGATATTCTTAAAGCATGGCAAATAAAAAGGTATCATGCTCTGTTTTCAAATATTTGTTATTAGAGTTTCCCCTTTATAGGCTACAGTTTCTTCCTTAGCTGCCTGGAAAACAGCAGAAAACCATTCTTGCATTTCAGGTGCATTTTCACTTCTTTTCGTGTGGTCTTAAAAATATCCCCAGTATCAACTTTTCTGATTGCATTTAACGACATGAGAGGAAAAAGAAATTTTTAAAAAGTCAAGGTACCTTTACTGTGAACTGCACGCACGTCTTCTCATCAGGTTGATACGAAATACAAAGCATAACAAACCCCACTAAGGACACCACACAGACCTGCAAGGGAAGAGATTTAAAATGTGTCAAAGTTAAAAAAAAAAACCAACACAAAAATAACACGCTCTTCTGTGTTAGCAGGACCTCCAGGAGCGGTGCATAAGGCAAGTCATTTGAGTAGGGGCTACAGCCATGCGTGTAGGAGCCTCCTATGTGTGGATGCGCTTGTGAAGAGGGAAGAGTTTTAACCTTCACTTTACAGACAGGAGGCTCAAAAAACTTACTCAGAGGGACTTTTTGAATCAGACACAGCCCAGCAATAGCCTCCAGGAGGTGTATCTAGTTTTTGTCCACGTAACTATCAAAAAGGAGCAGAAGGCTACAAAGTTGGGCTCGCAAGCCCCAAAAGCACCATCCGGTGTATGACTGGATGCTGACAGCGTTTTTATGTCGCCGGTACAGGTTGTAAACAGTAACCACAGCTGCTGCTGGATAAGGAGCAACACACATTATAGCAGAGGCTTTCAGCCTCTCCTAGAGTGGACACTTTACCAAAGAAGACATCTCCCCTGCAATCTGAGACTGCATTTTAGCCCTGCAGCAGTAATTGCTGATGGTTAACAGTAATGGAAAAGTATTTATGCACTTTATTATTCATTTAGCTGTCCTTATTATTAATTCTGAAGATTGAGATTTATTTGCAGGAGCAGATATTCACTGGTAAGCATTTTCCAGCCACGTAAGGAGGGAAGATCCTGCTCTGAGGAGCTAGTCCAATAAATATGATTTCCTTTTTCAGGCAGTATTTTCTGGGTCCCCCTCATGGGTGCTAAGCACTTCCTCTCCCATGTTTATGGAGGACCAGTGAGCAGACCTCACAGGAGGACACAGGAGCCACAGTTCTGCAACTGAACTACTGCTTTTTGGCAGCTTCCCCCTGCCCTGACGCCTGGACAAGAGGAGCCGGGTCCCCAGGTGCCGCTGGGGTATCACGGCACGTGGGGAGCCCTGACTGCGCCCGCAGAGGGAGAGGGCGTTGTTGGTGGCTGGAGCTACGCTCAGAGGAATCCATGCGTGTTTGGATTGCCTTGGAAAAACAGGCAAGTTGATGGCATGCACACATTTTTAAATGCCACTTCTTATCACACCTTTAAAAAAAAAAGGTCCAGGTATGATGAGCTTCAGTGGGGACCTCAGCCGAGATCAGCCAGCATGCTTTCAGAGGTGCTAAGGCTTGTCTTCACGTGAGGCTGGGAGCGAGCCTTAGCTAGGAGCATCCTGATTGTAAATGATCGCTATTAAATTCCCAGTGACCACAGCAAGAATCTGGGCTGGGTTTTTTCCCCCCTTCATTTTACTTTGGGGGTTTTGAAGGCTTCTCATTAATTTGAGGCTTTCTGCTCTCCCAGAGCAGTGGGATTTGCCTTCTCAGGTCAGACTCGGGTGCGAGTTGCCTTTGCTCAGGGGTGGGACAACGCCACGGAGATGCCTTCAGGAGCGCAGGGCTCCTTCATTGCCCCGTCCCCGCCTGCTCTCTGCACGCTACGGCAGTGCCGTTCACATCCAGATTTCCAGCTCCATGGGGAACTGCTTGACCCGCAGTGAAAAATGCCAAACTGTCCTTTTAGGCAGCAATGGTTAAACACATTTCTTTTATGATCTGACAAATAAAATACCAAACTTTTCTTTATATCTGCATTGTTGGTGTAAGGCACTAGACAGCAGCCCTGTAAAGGAAGAGTGCCTCTTGACACACGGGTAAGCATGTCCCTCAAGAACCTGTGTGATTAATAACACTTTTTCCCATAAAATTTTATTTCATGTCATTTCAGTAAGACATGAATAGGAAGTATTGCCTGAGAACATTTCTAAAGAAAGCGTCAGTATTATTTACTCCTTTCCATGTCATGTGTATTTATATTCTGGTCCTATGACTTACACATGGCCTCCAATTTATTTGTTTTCTTCTTTTTATTGTTGACAGCCATAGCTGACAGGGTTGTTGGGGGAAAAAACAACCTTTCTTGTCAAAGGTCCTTCTGTGCTGGGGTTTTTTTGCCCTATAGTGCTTCAACCATGTTTTATTTCTCAGGATTAATCGCCTATGTCCTTGGTCCCTTGCACTGTATATTAATCTTTTAATTCAATTAACATGCCCATAAAACTTAAATCTTAAGGAGATCATATCTCTAGTCATATCCAAATGATAAACTCCCCCAGTGGCAGTAGTGACTGAAGGAAAGAACTTGCAGTGAGAACTAAAAAAAAAAAAAGCTTAAATACACTCGCTTAATGTTACGTCCCCAAATTCATGTGAAATCAAAGGGGCTGCTCACATCAAGGCTAGACCTAAGTATTTTCAGGATCTGGTGCTGAAGGATCTTGTTATGAGCAATAAATCAAATTTGCTTTGCTTCAGCTACACTAGCGGGCATTTACACTCACATGAACCGAGGGCCAGATTTGCCTTCCAGGTTACTCCCGTGAGACATCATGGGACTGTGCCCGCTCTCCCAGTCCCGCTCCCATTTTCCCACAGCAAGCCGACAGAGCTGCATTCATTTCCGAGGGCACAGCCAGACACCAATGGTGGAACTTTCCCTCTACCATCAAGTACCTCGTACAACTTCTGCAAAAACCCTGCCAGCTTTCAATGCGGCAGGATCAGACCTCCCTCTTCAGAAAGCTTCCCATGCAAAAGACTATCGTTTATAAGGATTTCCATTCCTGCACGTGCTTTCTAAAGTTCCTCTGGGATTTAAATAATATACTCAGGGATACTTGAAGAGGCACATTTGTAGAGAGGTATTTATAAAAGATTACACTGGGTCGGGATTCTGGCAAGTCTTGGCCAGGATATTTCAGCAGGCTTAAGTATTTCATTTATAACAATATACCAACTTTTTCTTCTTTTTTTTTTTCAAATCAGAGATGTGTATTTTTGTAAGTGATGGTAAAAAAATAATGTTGCTGAGAATTATGACCCATATATGTTTTACATTTTGGTTCTTTAAATTCACTTGTTGGAGCAAACTGAAGCAGGGAACATTTATACAGAAAATAGCTTTATGCTTCTATTTTATATGCTATTAATAGATCAGTTTTGAATTATACCTGTGAAGTGTAATAGAATAACTATAAAAATCCTCTGGTAAATATTCGTTAGGACCCGCTAAGTGACTAAGACAGCTGCATTACAGCAGGCACATTATAGATGCTGTTGATGCTGATTGCTAAGTCGCATTAGGCAATCCTGCGTCCTAGTACTTCAATAGCCATTGCAATATCCCAGCGTGAAGCGTACATTTCCTATGCCTTATTGACTAAGCACACAACATAAAATGCAATTGAACTTGCTTTAGCACTTGCTTGCCACCAATCGATATGCATTTGTTACACAAATAAAATAGATTCTCTACGAGCTGCAGAATAGCAGTTAATTAGATCAGCTCTTGTAACTGTTATCTGGAAATCTAGAAATATGCATTTCTATGCTGAGTAAATTTCAACTCAAGTTTATTTCAAGATCTTATATTTCAAAATTTTCCACATGGGCTAACACACCCTTTGCTGAATAGGTAGTGACGTGAAAGGTTATCCAAGGGAAGAATTTAAATTTAGAAAAGTACTGTCTAGAAAAAGACCCGAATGCGATACAGATGTATTTAGGAAGGGTACAGATTTAATTTTAGTTAAGGCATACCCTGTGAAATCCCCCAGTTCACAATCCAGGGAAAACAGCAGTTTACTAGAGTTGGCTGAAAAACTTCAAAGTTTCAATACTATTTGCTCTAGAAAAGTTTCAATACTATTTCTTTTTAGTGGGAAGTTCCTTCCATTGGGCAGGAACATCTCAGGGCTGAAAAGTGACTTAAGAATTATTTTTTTTTTTTAAACCACAATTAAAATAGGAGTAGACATTTTCTGGGTTGCGCCCACCCCAAAGAGGGCTAGACCCTGTTGTTGTGAGAACTGAATTAAGATCCTATAGATTTCAGCAGAAAAAATCCCAGCGGCATTTAGGAGTGGGTCCCAGTTGATTTGCTCGGGAGGATCCCTGCACTCAGGGAGATCTAGCATGCGGTCCTTGGCTCTTCTGGACTTTGGCGAAGCACCTGTCCCTGTCCGCGCACGCAGGCTGGCACAGCCGGGTGCTTCTCACAGCTTGGAGCCTCACGCCCTGCTGCAAAATAGATGGTTCCACAGTGAGACTGCAACCGTACCGCAACGCGCGTTTGGCTCTCGCAAGGAGCGTGCCTTTACATATCTTGTTGATCATCTTAAAACCAGAACTCAAGCAGTAAAGAAGATCGCTCTCAAGCTTTGTGTACCCCAAATCCCTCACCACCAGCTTTACTTTAGCCGTTCTCACCGTGCAGAAGAGCTCCAGCTGCCACCGAAGCCCAGCACAGTGCCGGCACCCTCCTGCACTAGCCAACCCTGTCCCTCCCACTAAACTTACTACACTTCTGAAAAGTGTCACGGGTGAGAAAAACAGGCTCGGGAACAAACACAGGTGGCAACGCAGAAGGGTGTTTGGACAAAGCCACCAGACATTGCCGCCCAGCGAGGATCACGAGGCTCGGGGCACGGGAGCCGCTCTCCCCGTCCTCACCTCCCTGCGGCTCGCTCGTGTCTGGTCCTGCAAGGACTAAGCACAAAGTGTACGAGTGGCACAAGGACACCCCGTGGTAGTGATGAAGATGGCTATGCAATGTACGGAATCAGGGGAAATATGAATGCGTAGGGCACAAATTTCCTCTGTGGTTTGCATTCATTATCTTTGCACACTGACATATTAATGTGGTTTGCTTTGTTTCAACAGATTTCAAAACCACAGATTGCTCTAATCTGTCTGCGTCTCTCCCTTGTATATTTGTGAAACTGGTTTTTCTTTTGTTATTGCTACAATTTTAGCCCAAGTGTTGCTATAGAACAGGTAGTTTTCTCCAGCAAAGCACTTCCTACCCAGAGCATCTTGGAAACCCTGGCACATGAGGCTGGTAAGGCAGGAGAGTTGGAAACATCCACCAAGACATGAAGGAAGGAGGCAAAAACCT